ACAGGTAGTGTAGCCTTTAAATTGAGGCACAGGACAAGCAAGACAGCCGCACACTGGTCGGATGATCAAAGAGCGAGAGACAAGAAAGGCGAGACTCACCAAGGCATTTATCTCTCTGCCCTTCAGTTAATCCCACTTGTGTTTATCGGCCAGGCTGGCACAATAAACTATTTCACTAGCTTTCACAGATCCATCCAGCTCTAAAACCTCTATCACGTAACACTACAAATGAAGTTGGGAAGAGCCTCTGCATTATCTCAAACCTAGTGGGCCTTCTAGGAAAATCAGAGTAGTGTCTGTCTGAGCCTGCAGTTCGGGTGTTCTCCATGCATACTGTGCAGCTCGGTAGGCAATGAATCTTAGTGCTCCAGGTGTGAGAACAAACCTGTGGACTTGCCCTGTAGCTTCTGATGCCGAGGACAACCTGGCCTGTTGGAAAGCATGTAACTTGCTGGGTATCTGCCTTGCCACTCAATCCACATTCTGACGAGGCTGTAGCCTCTTCCCAATGCCAAGAGGTATATGACTGTCCCCAGAGATGATCAGAGAGAAAGGACAGGGGACAGGAGTAGGTGGACCACCTTGAAATGGGTTCTGTGTGCTGCAGTGGAGAGGCTGGCTTTGACTCCCCGGGCTTCACGCAGTGCTGTAGCACGCTTGCTTCCAGTGAATCAAGAGATGCCAAGAGGAAAGAAACGGGTCCAGTTAAATTAAATGAAAGAGATAGAAAGTATTCCTGAAACACTGGAGAAACTTGTGGGTAAACCCATTTTCAATTCACATTTGCCTTTCCGGTTTGGTTTTTTTTGTGTGTGTGCTTTCTTGGTGTTCTGCCCATCGATGGGCTTAAGAACTTTGATTATATTCTTGTTTGTTTTTCCCTGCCCCACTCGTGTGTCTCCTATAGATTCAATTATTTGGGTTAAGATTCTGGGGCAATATTTCTCAGCCTATGCATTGGTCAGCAGTTCGAAACCACAAGCAACTTCTTGGGAGAATGATGAGGTTTTCTACTTCCATCAAGAGTAAGAGTTTTGGGAAACCCACAGGAACAGTTCTGCCCACATAGGGTCGCTATGAGTCAGAATCAGCTTGATGGCAGTTTGTTTGTTTGGTGTAATTTTCAGTCTTTAGTATGGATGAGGACCAGATTCCCCACCACCCAGAAAACCTCCCCAAACTCACTGCCATCAAGTTGACGCCAAATCACTGACTCATAGCACCCTGAAAGGACGAGTAGAACTGTCCTGTGGGTTTCAGGACTGAACCTCCACAGGAGCAGAGCCTTCTCTTTCTCCTGAAGGACTTCACAGGAAGTAGAAGATGCATATACTTGGGTTTCTCCCCACGCCAGAGGCTGCGGAAATTCTGTCTTGGAAAGTCTTGAGTAGGGCCTGGGACTGCCCCGGGTGACATAGGCACATGGCCTCAGAGGAGGCCAGCCAGTGAGGGAGCTGCAGGTCTATGAGTCCCCCTTGCCCCAGGTGCCCCTTCCCCCTCAGGGCAGCCTCACGACAGGTCCAGTCAGCCTGAGCCATGGCCTCCATACTGTGCTTTCTTCCAGAAATATATTTTAGAAATTTGGAAGAGAAATTGACCCAGAACAAACTGATCTTGAAGGAGGAGCTGAAAACCTTGCTTCATTTGTGTGACTCCCGGGACGACATGCAGCTGGCTAAAAATGTCATTTACAGGTGAGGCGTTTCCCCGCATCCTGCTGGCCTTCCACTCTGTTCCATTTCCTGCACGTTCTCATCCATTTGCGAAAATTCAGCTGCCTCCGCTCCACCAATGACTTCCAAACAGTTTGTTCAGGTGCCTGGCTTGTGCCTCAGGACTTTTTATTCATTCATTCATTCATTCATTCATTCATTCAGCAAATAGTCCCTGGATCCCCATTATTTGCCAGATATGGAGGAGAGAAAGACAGGAAAACTCATTGCCTGCTTCCACACAATCTCCACTTACACATCCTCCAGGTCTTTCAGCACAGCAAACACCAAGGGGTGCCTCTTCCCGTGTGTTCTACCCCCGACCACTCAGTCTGGACAGGCGCCTGGGAGCGTCTTTCCCTTGATCTCTTGCTTCTCCTTTCTGCAAGGCTAAGAAACTGGATTGCTTCTACTTCCCGAGTTTCTCCTTCCCTCTCTGTCCTCTGACCAGTATCTTAGCTCAGCCCCCCAAGTGTGTCACTCAGATTGCCCAGGGTGCTCCCAACTGCTCTCTCCTACAGTTTTATGCCTAGGATGCTTCTTTCGGAGCCCTGATGACATGGTTGGTTAAGTGTTGGGTTGCTGCCAACAAGGTCAGTGTTTCAAACCCACCAGCCACTCCAAAATAGAAAACTGAGGCTGCCTTCTCCTTTAAAGACTTACAGTCTCAAAAACCCACAAGGGCAGTTCTACTCTTTGCTACTGAATCAGTACTATGAATCAGTACTGACTCGATGGCGATGGATTTATTTTTGTGTGTGTTTGCTATACCTCTGGTCCATTGTCAGAGTTTCCCACGCCAGGAAAAAACTCTGTGTAATCATCACCTGTTCTTAGGAAACCCAGTGAAGGTTTAACTTATCAGTGAGAAGTATGACATCCAATCAATAGGCTCGATTTCTGAAATTAAGGTAATTGTTTCTCGTTTCCATTCTTTAAAGATATATTTGACAACATTGGTAAATACATGGTCAGCAATTCGAACCTGCCAGCTGCTCGAAGGGAGGGAAAGGAGGCCCCTGGAAAGATGCACAGTTTCAGGGACCGTGTGCAGCAGTTCTGCTCTGCCCTGTAGGATTGCTATGCGTTGGGATACCGCCGCCATGGCAGTGGGTTTAGGATGGCCAGTACCCAAGCCAGGCAGTTTTCAATCGCCTGTGTGCATGTGAGAGGTGGACATCGAATAAGGAAGACTGAAGAAGAATCGGTGCATTTGAACTGTGCTGGAGAAGACTACTGACAGTACCATGGACTGCTAAAAGGACAAACATGTCTGCCTTGGAAGTAGTCAGTCCAGAGTGCTCCTTAGAGACTAGGATGGCAAGACTTTGTCTCACATGCTTTGGACATGTTGTCAGGAGAGATCAGTCCCTAGAGAAGGACACGTGCTTGGTAAAGTCGCAGGGCAGCAGAAAGAGGAAGCCGTGGACAAGGTTGTGGCGGCCCAGGACGTGGCAGCGTTTCTGTCTGTTGTACACGGGCCCCTGTGAGGTAGAACGGCCTCGACGGCCCCTAACAACAACAACTGATTTAGTGATTTCAACAGAGAGGAAAAAAGCAGGTCATCTTTTGAAGTCAGGGCTTTGCTCATGATAATTGAAATTATTCTCTCATGACGCTTCCTGAGCTCTGACTTAAGAGACCTGAGGTCTTTCATCACGAGGCATCGCCAGCTTGTCTCTAGTGTCTACGGCGGAGGGGGCTGGGTCTGAAAGTCCAGCCCGTGCTGAAGGGATCACTGGCCCGCCTCCCAGTCAGTTCTGATGCACAGCGACTGTGACAGTGGAGCTGTGCCACAGCCGCCCCGCCCCCCGCCCCTCGCAGTGGAGCAGGCTGCCAACTCTGGGCTCCCGCGGAGCACCCATCCACCTGCCAGGTAGCCTTCAAACCCATAACCAGTCCGCCTTCAGGGATGCTCTGCAGACTGGCCAACTTGTAGAAAATCTCAAGCCACAAACAAGGTTGCAGTAGCATTTTCCCGAAACTCAGAATTTCTAAACCCAATTTAACTCGTCTGGCGCCATGGATATAGCACACACATGCTCCCCACTGACTTAGAATAACAGAGAGCGCTTTAAGTTGTGAGAGGCATCTGTTGCCTGTCTGCCACCCTATCTGGGGATGCCGCCAGCTTTGCGGAGGGCGGAGCTCAGCCCATGTCTTCCCTGGGTCGCTGGGTGCAGCCTCTGCAGCGGTCCGGAGTCATCCCGGTGCCTGGAACAATGCAGGGCCCCTGCTTTCCCCTCACATGCCCCGACTTGGTCCCAGGAGGAGCAACATGTGCTGTTTTGTCTTATCTCACAGGCTAGGTTCCTCTGTGTTTGCCTCTTGGTCTTTCCTGCCTGCTGTCACTCTGCTCCAGAATCCCTCTGATTCTCTTCAAACCTGCCCCCCAATCCAGACTTCCGTTGTGAGGTGCCATTGAGTCCGTTCCAACCCTTAGCCACCCCATGCCCAACAGAACAGAACACTGCCCCGTGCTGCGCCATCCAATGCTGGGGCCAGTGTTGGCAGCCACTGCATCCTTCCATCTTGTCCAGGGCCTTCCTCTTTTTTGCTGCCCTGCTGCTTTACCAAGCATGACATCTATCTCCAGGGACTGGTCTCTCCTGGCAACATGTCCAAAGGACAGAGACAGAGTCTTGCCATCCTTGCCTCTAAGGAGCGTTCTGGCTGTACTTCTCCCAAGACAGGATTGTTTGTTCTTTTGGCAGCCCATGTTACTGCCAATCTTCTTCACCAGCACCACAATTCAAATGCAGCGGTGGGTCTTCACATCCATATGTGGTGATGGAAAACTCCTGTCTATGAAAGTCCCTTATTCTTCACTGTGTCCCCAACGTGCGGCAAAGAGCCTGCCTTGTTCTGTGCCTGTCCTTTGACCTGTATCCCACCTTTTGGCTCATTGAATTGTCTTGATTACCAGGTACCACACGGAGAACAGAAATGTCAGTTTGGGGGAGTACAAGTTTGGACCGCTCTTCATGAGGCTCTGTTACGAGCTGGATCTCGAGGAGGCTGCCCTGGAGCTCATCAGAGACCAGGTTTCTATTTACTGATTGCTCTCTTCCTGCCCGGGGTTTCCGTGGGCTGCAGGGTGGGTACTTGTGATGATGTCAGGAAAGGTATCTCTCCCGTACATATTATTACTGGGATGGATTTCCGGAGAAAGCCCACTGGGCTGAATGCTTCTGCTCTTCCTTGCATTTTAAAGTTCCTTTGGCGTCAGTTCCTGGGAGGGGGTGACAATCTGGCTGGTACATCCGTTGTGCAGGAGTTGGACTAGGTGTCTCACCGGCCTGGATGTGGGTCGGCCTGGGTCTAAGCCCCTCTCTCCAGGAGCTTGTAGTGGGAAGTTGAAGGCTGGCTGCTGTTGCAAGTTGCCTTCTCCTACCCTTCCCCTGGACTGGTCTCATGCGTGTGTTTGTAATCCTGCCTGAAGACTGCATTTGTAAAGTACTGGTCAGTTTTCAAATCTGTCACTCAGCGTGGTTTTCTTTTCTCAGAAGCAAACACATCATTTGTGAGCAGCATTTATTGAACAGTCACCATGACCTTGACCTTGGGCTTCTTAATGACTGAATGTATTAGTCCATTTGTTTTCTCCAGTAGTGAGATAGATACTGTTGCTCTCTGGGACCTAGGAACGTGATAAACTCATCCAAGGACAGAAACATTTGCTAAACGGAGTGAGGAGGCACGCATGTTTATGTTTTCAGGAACCTGCGTAACTGTTGTCCTTCTGTCTTTGCTTCTGCTTTGTATAAAGTTGTGTGTGCATTGTGTTCTCACTGTAGGATCACCGCTCTTTAGGACTGCCAGGAGTTGGAATCAACTTGATGGCAGTGCGTTAAGTATAGTTTTTGTTTGTTTGTTTGGTGTGGAGTATTAGAAGACTGTAGCTATGAGGGTGCTTCAAAAGTCCACGGGGAAATTCCATTATCTTTTCATTCCACTTTATATTTTAATTTTTTGAAGCCACTTTATATATATATTAATAAGCTGGCACAATTTATTAAACAACCCCAAAAGTAGACAGTGTAGATGATTCAATATTCTGTGTGTGGTTTTACCAGAATGAAGACCAGAGTAGTCAGAAGATGTTGGAGATTAAAGATAACCCAGACGTCCAGCTCCACTTTCTCCCACCTCACCCCTGAGTGTATTCCCTCAGGTGCCTGAGTTCTGTGATTCGTCCATAGAAACTCGTGAAGCTGTGAGGAACTATCTCGCGTGGTGGTGCGGTTCCATCCCCAGTCCAAAGATCGGATAGAGCAGAGCCAAATGCAGGGTCCCAAGCTGGAATCCAAGTGTCCAGAAGTCACCCTGGGTCTTCCTGTTTCTACCAAAGCTCAGTCAGGAACTAGGGGTATGTCCCTTCCCCACCACACACATGTGAGGTGAGATATGTTAGAACCCCACGGGGGTAATTCTTCTCTATCCTATAGAGTCACTTTGAGTCAGAATTGACTCGATGGCAGTGAGTTTGGTTTTTAATTTTTCTTCTCAGCATCTTCCCTGACCTCCTTCCAAATTTCTTCTGCCCCATCTTTATCTTGGGTTATTAGTTTTTGTAACCCTCTTTGATGCCTGACAGTGTTGTTTTTCTTTCTTTTGCTTGGTTGGTCTCCTTGCTCACTGTCTGATGATAAGCCCCACATTTAAGGGCAGGATGTGTGTCTTGTTCACCCCTTTATTCTTAGCGCCTGGACCAGAGCCTGAAGCACAAGCTCTTGCAAAAAAGACCAAAACAGGAAGAAGCTTGAACGTGACGTTTAATGACATATTTGATCTGTTTGCAAAACGAGGAGCTAGTTGCATGAGACTCTTCTGTCTTAGACCTGAAGTAGATTTTTTTTTTTAACCATTAGCAAAGTTTTATTTGCGCATTTCTGGCATTTAAAGTATTGTTCTATAATATCCTTGGCTTGGCATTCTTTACTGGAGTCCTTCACAACCACACAACTGCAACCAACCACTTTCGGGGTGTTCCTTCTCAGTCAGCTGCGGGAGGCCTGCCCACTCTGCTAGTCTCTTGTTGTCATCACCCTATTAGAGGAATTCAGCCTCACTGTGTTAACAAGGCAGCAAAACCAAACTGAGACACCCCCTTCCAAGGTGGCTTCCACTGGATGCTCTGCTCCTGGTACCTAAGTTCCAGCACCAGTCCTGCTCTGGCTCTTCTTCCCCTAAACACAGCAGAGCCACACTTCATGAAGACCAGCTTTGCTGTGTTTCTAAAGACCATCTTTGGCGTGCTCAGCATGCCCATTCCCAAAGGCGAGGCGCCAAATCCCCGTGAATTCTGGAGGGCAAATGCATAAAAGTGTACAGAAAACTAAACTCTGGCCAGAGGAGATGCAATGTAAGTTCCACCTTCCTAGTGATAACCGTTAACCAAGCCCTGTTGTTTTTCCCTCTAGCATTTACGAGGCTTCTTTTCAGACTGTACATCATTCAATATTTTGATGGATATGCTATTTCTCAAGGGCAAATATGAAAGTAAGTACGATGGTGCATCCTTGCTAGAAATCCTGCCATCGTTGCTGGCATAATACTTAGTGGGGGAGGGGTGGAGATCCCTGCAGAAATGACCCAGACCTTCATGACCGGGGGCTGGCCATGGAGACTGTTCCTCACAAAATCTGAAAGCAGGAGCGCAGTGCTGGGCAGGCCGGGAATGAAACCCACCAGGCTTCATTTAGGCCGAGGTGGAAGCAGGTGTTAAAAATGTGTCACTCATGCACGATCTGAATAGTGTGGTATGTAGCTTATCGCTCAGTAACTTTGACAAATAGCCTCGATTGTGCCGAAAAGCCACTTGCCAGTCTGATGAGCGCTCTGCACTCGCTCGTGCGCCTAGGCAAACATCATTGGCCCACTCCGAACTTTTGGCAGGTGCATTGGAAGTACTGATTGAAATGAAAAAACAAGATGTGAAATTCAGCAAGGATACCTACGACCTCGCGTTTGCAGTCTGCTACAAACTGGTAAGGCTGTCCCCCTTCCCGTTCAGAGCATTGTGGGTAGTGTGTAAACGAGGGTGAAATGCCACCTCTAAAGATTCCTTGTTCCCCAACGGGTGCAAATGTTTTCATTTTAAATGCACTCGGCCTTAGAAACCTGAAGTAAGCCGTGTCCGAGAGTTTCAACATGGGGAAAGCAGTGTTGTACTGGACCCCTAACTGGAAAGTTCGATAAGGAGGATGGAGGCTGTGTGTTGGGTCTGTGTTCCATAGAGTCCTCTTGCTATCGAGCTTGTGCTGAATTCCGCTCGACCAGACCTGCTGCTGTCCTCCCCCCATGCACTGAATACCATCCTTCAGTGACCATCTCGGGGCCTCCTCATGCTCACCTGCAAAGTGTTCTGGGAGCACCTATGCTGGAAGTGCAGTCTCTCTCCGGCAAACATCCCTTGGCCGTTCTGTATCGGCATCACATACCTGGAACTTATAACCCTGCCTGATGCTGTACTCAGCAGGTGCACATTTCACTCCCTCTTCCCCGACTAGAGTGTACGCTCCTTGAGGCACCTTTTTATCCCAGCACTTAGCACAGGACCTGTACACAGTAGTGCTTTAATTCACATTTTCGAATTAAAACCAACTGTTGGAGGACAGAGGCTGTTACCTAATTATTTACAGTGGAAAGAAAATTGAACTGGGAATTGGACACTTGAGGCCCGAGACACAACTATAGCATGAACGAACTTATGTAATATATAGCTTTGATCTGGTCACTTGTCTGAGGTGTTACAGGGTGGGTTCAGAGGTCAGGAACCTGTAGAAAGGGCCGGGTCGTGAATGCGTTAAGCTCTGAGTGCCAGCTGCATGGTCTCCGTCACATAAGCTCTGTTCTTATTTTTATAAGCCTTTAAACGTGTAAGAACCATTCACAGCCATGGGCTGAAGGCGGACTGAGGACTTCGTTTGCTGCTCTGTGGAGGAGATGGTCCTCTCCAGTTACGTTCTTCTGTGATTCTGTGAATGAGAAGACACAGAACAGCTCTTAGTGCCCGCCGTTCAGCTCTGCAGTGCCCTCTTCTGCCCTGAGGCCCAAGGCCAAAATGAGGTGTAGCTACTCGGGACACCTTCCTGAGTGTCTGCGAGGGGAGCTTCAGAAAGTTCGTGGGAACATGGAATTGAAAGAGAATGAAATTTTGCCACACACTTGGGAAGGGCTTCATTCTTAGGAAGGGCTCTAGGCCTTTTCTCCCTGTGCTTGCTCTGCTCGGTGGAAGCAAGTTGATAGATTGAGCTTGTCATCATCGCAGATTCCAAGCCAGTCTGGGTACTGTCCTCTTACCAGATCCAGACTTCACTCCAAGAATTTGAGATGGGGACTGTTCCTACCAGACTAAAACTTAGAGCACAGCTGGCAGGGTTCTCAAGCCATCTCTGCAGTCCGGCCAAAGGAAG